ATTTTTTTATATATTTTTTAATATTATATTTTATAAACTATATTATAAAAATAATTAAAAACCTTAATAAATTTCCAATAAATATCTAATAAGCCTTTTAAAATTCTTAATAAAACTCTCAATAAATCTCTTTAAAATTCTAAGTATGTAATGAAACTTCTAAAATATTTAGTAAATTTTCATACAATCTTAAATAATAATAAATATCTTAAAGAAAACTTATTTAAAAAGTTGAAACCCAATTAATTCCACTTATATGAAATTAATTTCAATTTATAGTTTTATATCTAATAACACATAAATTAATCACAATTTATTTTTAACAAAAGAAAATATATAGTGATCAATAGGTAATGATATATAATAGTAATAAGAGAAAATAGAAACACAATTTATGGTTTTATATGGAATTAAAAAGTTATGTACAAAAAAAGATATGTAATGATACAATGATTGTTGGAGGTGCAAAGAGTGACTAAAAAATAAATAAATAATATAATGGGAGATAAAAAAGAAAAGAATAATAACAAATAAATTATAAATATTTGACTACACTTTCATGGCACACTAATGCATGATGTTTCCGCTCCTACATTGACTTCCCTTTTTTATAATATTTATTTTCATTTAGAGTAAAATGACTACAACCTAGCCTTTCCATCAATATGTATACATTATAATGACCAAGAAATGCAATTGCTCTTCATATGATTTTATGCATTGTTTTTGTTCAAAATTCTTCCTTTTTTTTTTCAATGAATAAAAATCCAATTAATTTGATATACTAAACCCATGCCACATGCTTCAAGCCCAATGATGACTTCCCTTTCCCTTTTTGTTTCCATTCCTTTTCATCAAGTATTAGAGCAATTAATATTTCACTTTTTTCTCTATACTTTTCACACATTAATTATGGTTTTACACAACTTTTTTCTATACACTTTTCACACGTTATCATATAATCCAATATTTCAGTAAACATTAACTTATTCCATATCACAAAATTTTCTTCTTTACATTTTCCACACATTAATATATAATCTAATATTCCAAAACACCTTGACCTATCCCACACGTTGATATACTAAATCCACACCACATGCTTCTAGCCTAACGATGACTTCCCCTTTCCCCTTTTGCTTTCATTCCTTTTCATCGAGTATTAGACCAATTAATTTTCCACTTTCTTCTCTACATTTTTTATACGTTAATTATAATTTTACACAAAACTTTCTTCTCTACACTTTCCACCCATTAATATATAGTCCGATATTCCAAAAAACCTTGCTTTA